GCCATCGCTGCTCGCGGGGACTGGGGGTATTGGTTGGCGGGTGGTGAGCAGTTGCATCACTTGTTTTTCCTGGGTTTTGCTCCTCTCTCTCTCTTTTGTTGTTTTCCTTTTCATTACACTTCATTATTATTACTATTTTATTTCAATTATTAAGCTGTTCTTATCTCAACCCAGGCGTTTTCTTACTTTTAACTCTTCTGATTCTCTCCCCGGTCCCACCGGCGGGGAGAGGGCGAGCGAGCGGCTGGGTGGTGCTTGGTTGCCGACTGGGGTGAAACCACGACAATCACACAGAGCGCGCTGCATCAGGACAGACAGCTAATACCGAGCAGCTTATTGCATTTGCCACGTTTCCACGTTGCCCTTCCAAATCAATGACGCTTGCTATTGTTAGATGGAAGCAGCAGTGTCAACATATATTTGCTTAACCTTTCACAGCTGGAACAGAAATACCATCTACGCTTTGGATGCCTCCCGACTGAACGGTGCTCTGACTGGCAGGCTAACCTTTGGCAACCAAATGCGTCGATTTGTACCTCACTGATTGGAGGTCCACGGAACTGTTAAACAACGCGCCTGCCTCCCGTTCCTTCACTCCGGAACAGTCCAAAAGCGGAAGCAATTCCTTTCCATCTGCAGCAGCACCTTCTTATCCATTCTAAGAACATCAGAGATGGTAGAGCCCGAGCAAATCACAACCCTCGTCCAACCCTGCGATGGACAGAAACTGCCTTCCTTCTGTTGTCTGTAAGCCTTGCTGTTTTGATTACGGAGATCTTTCTCACAGGACTTCTCTGAACCAACAAGCACGTTGCCAGAGAGCTTCTTGCGAAAGAGGTGAAGAACTGCTTTGTAGAGACACTTTCTATTGTGCAGTAAACAAACAACTGTTATTTCTAAAAGGATCTAATGCTAAAGAACAATTCAGAGTATTTCCTATCCCCAGTAAGTGGTTTTGAAGTTCAGCATATGTTACCAACAGATGATCCACCTAAAAAAAGAGATGCTCATCTATTTTTGCATAGAGCTCTCATAAAGCTTTATTATACACAAAGTGTGATCAAATCAGACAACTTCTGTGCAAAAGAGTGACGTCAAGACAGTTGCATGATCGCACACAAAGCTCTCTGATCTGGACTGAAACATCTTTCAAACACAGGTCTAGCAGTAGCAAATGTTGGTAATCGCCTTTCACCCACAGTACACCGGGGACTAGCCAGCAGGCACCAACGGCGCTTCAGATGCAAAAGGCATGTTCTTTAATACTTAAATAAATTTGTGACTTTAAAGACATGACTTAATCCTCACATGCCCCGGGAGAGGTGAGGTGCAGACAGGTATTATCTTCATTTTATAGATGGGGAAACTGGGGAGAAGGCACCTCCCAGAACACCACACTATGCAAACTGAGATTAGAAACTCGTGGCTCAGATCACACCTCGTGCCTGAGGTACAGTGAGAAACCCAGGCCTTGGGGGGAGGGAACCCCAAAGAAATCAGAAGCGATTTTTCTCTTTTGCTGCGAGGATTCCATATTCTGTTCAAGTGATGAATTACAGTCACATTCACTGCAGCTGCTTCCAGCAGGCTAGGGTAGGAGCATCAATTATCAGCCCAAGAGGAAAGGACTAAATCAATAGAAGAAGAACTCTGCTTACTTGCTGACTGGGTTTTTAATCCCCTGTCCATCCGAGCCAAGTCCCTCGCCTTCCTTCCAGCCCATCTTCATTAGCATTTGATAACCTATGTTTTCCACAGTCAGTTTGAACTCTTTGTATTCAGAATAATCTGGCTCACGTCCTTCCTGCAGAGACACAAAAGGTAGCGTTGGTTATTTTTTATATGCACCTATCTTTGTGGGTCAGAGGAAGGGAAAACCAGCTTCAGCTACTCGAAGTTAGGATGGTTCTGGCAAACAATTAGTAACTAGCACGATTTACTGGGATTCCAGTTCTGCACCACCACAGAGAAGAAAAATAGGTAAATGATAAAGCACTGCACAGCCCTATAACATAATCTGCAAGAAGCAGGGAATGCTACTGTGAGATTAAGCTGAGAAATATTTAGCTCCTGAATTTAAAGTTGCTCACTGCATCAAGCTTCAGACACAGTTCTTATTTAAGCCAGGATCTCCAGGGAATGTCAGACCCCACGCTGGTTACATGAAAACATTATGAGGGATGCGCCAGCATCGAGAAATTCTACAGTTTAGGAAGAATTGGCAGGTATTGAAGTGCTTTGCATAAGCTTTTTGTAGGCTTTGTATTTTCACTTTACTGCAATCGTCTGGATAAAAATTCAGATTTTCCTTGCTTGGCATCAGCAACCACTTATCCAAAACAAGAACAGCAGACAAATGGCGGGTAGTCTGAGAGGCTTGTCTATAATTTCAGCTAACCCCCAAATACTGTCCCAATAGTCTGTTCTCTAATTTGCTACAGCCGTTTCTCTGCAAAGACCAAAAAGCCATCCCCTTGTTTCCTCCAGAAGTAACAGAGCTCCCAGTGTAAGGGCAGAAGCACCTCAAGGCTGCAAGGTAGCTAACTGCTGTGAAAAAGGGCTAAGCAAGCTTGAGATCTTTCTCTCACTGCTACGGGACAAGTCTGAAGCACTGCCACCCCCCTGTGAAGTCTTTGCTATTTCACCTTCAGTGCTTTGAACGTCTCCATGAATTTCTCCAGCTCGTCAGGCGGAAGAAAGTCTCCGATGAAATGTTTCCCTCTGCCCATCTGGGTCAGCTGCTCAGCCCACTCTGCCCAAGACACAGAGGAGAGAAAACGGCAGTAACGCAGCGTTCTTTGACTTGGAATTTCAGAGGGTTTGTGAAGCATAAAACCTCACAGCAACAGACAGTTATTATCTCCACTCAACAGGCAATGAAGCCACAGCAGAGACCAGTGAAAAGTGACCCTGCGACTCCCACGCCAACAATGTGATCTCAGACATCTCCCTCTGGAGGCCTCTGTACAACCGCAGAGCAAGACGTTTGCACGGCAGCTCCCCACACACCTCGCGTCTTGTCCATCTCCATGCGTCGAAGCTGGTGCTCCCACGTTCCCAGCTCACTGTCCACCTCTTCATCGCTGTCATAGCCATGCTGGTGCTGCTGAATTGCCTTTTCCCACATCATCTGCATCTCCTGCATGGCTCGCTTGTGCTTCATGATCATATCATACATCTGCTGCATCTAGGGGAAGAGATGCAACAGCGCATTCGAGACGACAGCCAGGTCACAGGCAGCAGTCTGCCATGGCGGCACGCGGAGTTCCGCAGCAGAGCCCACACCCGCCCCAGCTGCCCTACAGAATACAGGTTATGACAACTACAGATCGCAGCAGGCAGTGCTGCTGCTTGATCTGATCCGCTCGCTTCTCAGCTCAAACAGGAGCATTATGTGCCGGTTCCTCCAACAGAAGAGCCTTGATATTAACGCTGAGGACTGCTGCCGTCTGATCATCCCCACACAGCTGAAACTTCATCCTCACGTTCTGGCAAAAGCCAATTCTGCTCTCATTCCCCCAAAGCCTGCAAGTATCCACTCACCTTCTCTCCACTCCTGAAGCAATACATAACCAGCTGCAGATGTGACACAACAGACCTTATAGATTTTGGGTTTCAGTTTGGTAGGACAGCAATTGGCTGGCTTAATTCATATTCCCCAAAGTCCTCTAATGTTTCTGCTGACTGCAGCATCACATGATTCTTAGGCATTCAGCACAAATCCTAGAGATTTATTTGTGGGCCACTGGGAAAGTTTCTTTGCTATCTCCACCTCCGTTTTCCCATCTAACCCAGCCGTGCTGCAACGCCATATGAATTTGGAAATCATTTCAGGGCATTACCTCCTGCTGCTCCTTCAGCTGTTTCTTCTGGGCTTCGGAGAGCTCCGTCACACCCACCAAACCAACCGGTTTCCCTTTTTCATAACCAAGACCCTTGAGGTCCTGAACTGTAATAAGCACATGTTAAAAGACTTTCAAAAATCTGAGACAGCTGTTGAGACCAGCGAAACCGTATCTCAGGATCCCCACATGAAGTTTTACACTCATTTCACAGTTCCAGCATTGAGACACTTAACTGAAGAACAACCGCCTGGCAGGACTTGGGAACCACAGGAGCAGGAAAGCCACCGGGTCGCACCTCCTTCGCCAGCCAGCTCAGAGCATTCCCTCACCCTGGTCCAAGGCTCTGCCCGTACCGCGTTAGCGGACTCGCAAACTGTGTCTCACATCCTCGGAGGTCACACTGCACGGCAATCTGCTACACCACGCTTTAAAAATCATTCCTCCTTAAGATTAATTCCCCTCCATGAGCCCCAGCCACTGCAAAGAGTGATACTTAATTATTCAGAATTGAGTCACAAGCAGATCTGAGCCTGTCAGCATATTGTCCAATCCCTGCACGTAAGTGTCTGCTGATTACTGTGTAAACAGCAACTTCAGTCAAAACGAAAAGCAAATGACCACATTAGAATAAAGACATGAGCATTATGCCGCTTTTGGAAGTTGCCGTTCCCCAAGGAGATTTTAGTTTCTTATCTACAGGCTCAAGAAGAGCATTGCCAGGGATGCTGCCCTGCTTTCAAAGAGGGGACATTTTAAGTCTCTGCTTGACAATCCCATTGATGTATCCTCCTTCTTCTGCAGCATCCCCTTTTAGAAGCTCCTCCTTTGGAATGATTTTTGCTGTTGTATCAGATAAACCCTGAAATTAGATGTTAACATTATCTGGGAAGGGCACCTACCGATTTAAAATGACCATACGGCACTCCGAGTTCAAAGGGCAAGTTAAAGGAAAGAGAGAGGGGGGAAAAAAGGAAGCCTATTTGTGATTCCTGCACCATGAAAGAAAGTAATAGAAACACTGCTGGGGCTGCAAAAAAGAGATTTACAATGGAGACTGCCTTGCAAACTTGGTTCCTATGTATCTAGCAGGGCTGGCAGCTCCCCTCTAAAGCACCTCAGAGCTAAGATCCCAACAGTTAAATATTTAAGGGATTAAAAGAAGACACACAACTGCACTTGAAAGCGCACTGCATTTTTCAATACAAGGAAAAGGATTTCTTCCTAATGACTGCAAAAACCTCCATTTGAATGTAAGTCCAGACTACAGTTAAATGATGCTTCATTAATTATTCATTATCTATTAATTATGAAGCCCGATAATAATAGGATCATTGTTCATGACACCAAATGTCTACACAGCATGCTAATTAGGCCCCAGGGGTCGTCTTCTCCCTTCCTCTTACTCGCACTCGGGGCAATTGATCTGAGCGCTCTTATCTCCCCTCCTCTCCCGCACGCTTTTGGCTGAGCACGCCGCGATTGGAAAGCGGCTTCCTTAACTCCAGCCTCCCAAGGAGAACATAAACCAGCGCATCCACCCTCCCTTGCACAGCTACAGCCTCTGCACATTCGCACCAGCGCCAGGAGTCAACTCTGCAGGAAGAGTTATGTAAAACACTGCAAGAGGTTTTCCAAGAGGAGGGAAGCAAGAAGCCGTGTTACGCTAGGCTTGGTGCTAGGATACGCGCTTTCAGCTCCCAAGAAATAAGAACAAATAGAAAAATAAACCTATCTATTATTGATAAACAGCCCAATTTCTGTCTCAGAGAGCACCGAGATTTGGAAACAGTTTTAATGAACACACTACGCCTATTCCACGGAAAGAAGAATCTGGCCCCAAATGTTATGTGTGACCGGGGCACTTCAGCATCAGCCCTAGTCAAAGATTCACCTCCTGTCTCAGGGCATGGGAAAGCTTTCTGAATGCACCAAGGAAGACTCTCTGCCCTTCACAGAGGTCAGCAGCTCTTTGGCTTAGTTCTGAATTGCATAAACACTCAGGCTAAGAGCCAGGCATGGCTCTAGAGGCCCTGCGAGCTGGTGGCTTGCCAGCATATATAACCACCTTAAAGGAGAAAGGTGAGACTGTAGCATCTCCTTTTACTTCCCAGAAAGCATATGCCACTGCTCCTTCTCGTGCTAAAACTACGTCTGGTTTGTCTGACTGCTCTGGTACCTTGCAGACTTTATGCTGAGTGATGCTGAAAGAGTCACTGCAGAAATTTAGCTCTGGGGGATAATTTTGTAGGCTTGGCTCAAAGTATCACAATACACGCAACGTTGACCGAAAAAGCGAAGCTCCGCCCCAAGTCCACATCTGAAGATAGAAAAGTCTATTCATAAATAAGATCGGCCAATGTATTTGCATATGTCCTGGTTTCGGCTGGGATACAGTTAATTTTCTTCCTAGTAGCTGGTACAGTGCTGTGTTTTGGATTTAGCATGAGAATAATGTTGATAACACACCGATGTTTTAGTTGTTGCTGAGCAGTGCTTACGCTAGTCAAGGACTTTTCAGCT